CCTCAGGACCAGCACAGTAACGGTGGCATAGTAACGTTGCAAGCATCTCTGATTGGGAAGAAGTTGTGCTTAAAAGCAGGATGGTAAACATTCCTACGGTAAGTGCTATTTCGGCGGGCCGAGATACAACACAGTGACCCTGATGTATAACAAATTGAAAAAGTTCTCTGATTGACCTTGAAGAGCTTAAACACCTCACAGACCTATGGACTAAGTGACGATGTTCCCAAAAATTATCTGCACAAAGGTTTTTTGGCATAGGGAGAACTTCTAACTTCAATTTCTACAAACGTTACAATTCTGAAATCCTCCCTTGCACAAGCAACCATTCTATATTGCCATAATGAAAGATTAACCAACCAAGGGTCTTCAACAACACGGCACCGTTGGAGGGAGATACCGATAAGCAATCAGTTGCTTTTCAACACAGGAAAGCATACTTTGCATCAGATCTGACTCCTTTAAGATAAGATGTGTGCTAATGGCTGGTCGATTGTCAAAATATTGACTTCGTCACAGGTTTATTTTCACTCATTGATGACTAGCTGTGGCAAGCCTATAATACACACACACACACACACACACACACACACACACACACACACACACACACATATATATATATATATATATATATATATATATATATATATATATATATATATATATATATATATAGGCATTGGCCTATGGTTTGCTAAGGCAACTTTGAGGAAAATCGGAGCGACCGTCCAATATACGTGTTTTTCAATCGTGTGTAGCTTTCCCCATAAAAAAGAAAGACAATTTTTGTTTGCAGTTCTGTCTTTTGGTTGACGAATGCTTTCATACAATATGCAATTCGACACATATTTGTCGGGAAGTAAGTGCGGAATCCTGTTAAAATCGTTGAGCCGCCCAACAAACGTTTTTCAATCCTGTATAACTTGCCCCATAGAAAAGAGAGGCAACCTATGTTTGCATTTCTCTATTTTGGTTGACAAATGCCTTCATACCATATGCAATTCATATGCATTGTCAACCGAAATGCTGAAATGCAAACATACTACGGGGTTTTGAACCGTTAGATATTAATGAGCCGTAGGATTTCTTAAGCCAGTTTGATGACCATCGTTCCATGGTTTGATGAGGCACTTTTGAAGAAAGTCGTATTGGCCGCTCTAAAGAAAGGCATGTTGTCTTCGATCGCGTGAAGCTTCCTTCCTAGACAAGATAGGCAATTTGTGTTTACAATTCAATATTTGGGTCAACCAATTCTTCCACATGATATGCAAGTCGGCACATCTTTATGTAAATGTATAATCGCATATATATATATACATGAAAAATTCCGTTATAAACTTTCTTAGAGGGTTTTGACCGATTAAGAATTAATTACTCTATGAAGTTTCTTTTGCCATATTTATAAGCACAGGTCTATGGTTCGATTAAGCAGTTTTGAAACAGTTGTAGGGGCTGCCCTATACATATTTTTTCGATTGTACAAAAATTTCCCTCCAGGCAAATGTTGGAATAGTTTTCTGTACCGCTCCGTAGTCCGTTAAACCTTTTCCTTTGCCTTACGCGCTGAGTGGCTCGACACCCCCCTGGTTTTCTGGTGAAGGCGCTGGTATACGACTTATGATGCATTTGTATATTAACGACTACTTAAAAAAAGCAAACAAAAAGGGCAGCGTGCCGGCAAGAAAGAGGCAAAACACAGCACTCGCAAACGCTCAAGAATAAACAGAACATCTAGACAGTGACAAAACTCATGGCAAGACTTATACAATCGCCGTCCATGTCCTGCAGCAAACCCATTTCATCCGGCTATCACGGGATGAAATGTATAAGTCTTGGCATGATTCTAGCGATCTTGTCCTCAGGAGCACAGCCGAGTTCCGCCAGTCATGGCGAACGAGTGCCTCGAAACAAAAGCCTTTGATAGCCCGGAAAGTGGCCGTAAGTGGTTGGGTAAGGTCAGCCGGCCCCACACTGACGAATCGGCAGGCCCCTCTCCTTCCCCCAGGTCAACATGGAGCGAGTGATCATTCGCCAGGCGTGCCACGACGCGGTTGGGTTGCCATGCCGAGCTGCCGGTTTCACGGCGACGCCTGGCTCCTGCGCCCGTGGTCGCGTGACGCGCGTCTGTCCCGTCCCCACGGATGGGCGGCCAGTTGTAGGCCTGAAGCGTCGGCTGGCGCCCGGGTGCAGCGACGCCACGGCCGTTAGGTGGATGAGATGTCGGTCTGCTGAACCGGGCTGCTGGTCGGAAAACTGCCGTGGTACGTCTGCGGCCTTCCACGAAGCTCTTATTTTCGTCACAACATAGGCAATTTATGTTAGCATTTAAGTATTTGTGTTGACTTCCATGTGCTTTCCTAGTATATGCAGTTCGGCATACATTTGTCGGCAAGTGGATGCCAAATCCTGTTGACTATTTTTCCTATTGGATTTTGATCTCTTACTTGCCAATGGCCCATATGGTTTCTTCAGCCAGATTGATCAGCACCGGCCTATTGGTTCGATGAAGCCGCGGGTGTCGATTTGTATTCTTTTATGAGGGCCTTGTCCCTTCTCCCAATGTTGAGTTGCCCCCCCCCCGAATGTTGGCTTAGCCCCCCAATGTTTTTGGTTGGAATGTTACAAAAAACGAACAAAAAATGATCATATCTTTCTATCTTCCTGCGTAGTGGCATCTCGCACCAGTCTCATGACGAAAAGTCCCGATTGCTCCCACCGTCAGGTGCAAGCCGTAACAGCTGAACGGATAAACGATGCAATAAACCTCACATACTTAGCGCCATAAGACACACAATGGCTTGTGAAAAGCTCTGGAATATGGAAATGGCAAAAGTTCTTCATGAGTTACTCCGTCCCCGTGCCCCACAACCAAATTGCGTACCGCCTCCCATCACCGCCATAAAAGGGCGCCACTACCGCCCTAAGGTAGCCTCTAAAATAGCGTCTTCGCGCGCCGATGGGAAGAGACGTGTGCGTCCAGTGTCTGCTCCCTGGATCTAACCTTGCGCGACTTCTATACTGGTTAGATTAGAGGCTTTATAAATTATACAACACTCAAAAACGTATATTGCGTTTAATCGAAATCAAGCGAGCTAAATCCGGTGAGAAAAAATGTGGGGAGGGAGGAGTAGGTTGTTGGACTTTCGGCTCCGTCCCCCACAATAGTTTACAGAAATTGACACCCCCGGATGAAGCAATGTTCAAGAAAATCGTAGGGGCCGTCTCATATACACGTTTTTGTTAATCGTGTATAATCAATTAAAATAGAAATTCTTAGCCATGAAGTAGGATTTCGAAACCATCGGTATTTCTGATCAAATCCTACGCATGTGATCCACAATAAGTGAAATTACAACAAATGTAGGCTACTGTCTTTAAAATCCTGCAAGTCGTCATCGCCTCTCACCACATCACTGCCAAAACCAAAATTGACAAAAAAAGGGCCATAACAAAACATTTCTGGATTTAAGCGCAATAGATTCTAAATGCACCCAACAACCAACAAAGCTTCACTTTCACGATTGAGAGTTCTGAAAGGCCATGAAGATTTACTACCGGTGACGTCATTTGACAGAATCTTGCAAACACATGTAGGACTATTGAGATCACAACCGCCCGGAGCGAGAACGGTTCAGCGCTGTGGCGCTGTAGCGCTGAAGGTTACGATTTTATCCGAAGGTTCCCGGCAAGCGGCACGACATGCCCAAAAGGGTCGAAATGTCCGAGACGGAGGACGTGTTATCACCCAAGAAACGAAAAAGAATTCAGAGTAGCCCGTCTAGCGGCGGAAAGGCGGCCCCGCCGGTCTCTGCGAAGATAACTGATCCATACGAGGTAAGTGGATTTAAAGTGGTTTTCTCTGGGGCATTTCACAATACAGCTACTTGTAAGGTGTCTGCGTCTAAGGATACAATGCTTAAAATAATAAGATCCGAATGATATCCTTTTTTATCAAAGTGAACTAATTGCTAGCTTAATTGTAGGTCTTGTACATAGGAAATCCACCTTTTTTAGAAGAAGAAAAATCTCCACCGCGAGCGTTTTACGCGCAGTGCGGCACGGGCTCAACCAGCTCGCGTTAGCAGGATTGCCCGACTTTGAAATCATACAATCCAAACGACATCTTTAGCACCAAAAGTAATGAGCAGGCAATTAACACCATTCACTACGTCGTTTCGACCACTGCTACTCACAATGCTCGCATGATTGCCTATCATCTTCAAGAAATAACCATCTGATAATATAATAATTTCGGCCACAAACAGGTCATATGATTTTTAACACGCTGACAGCCGACGATTTATAGCATGTACTAAAAGGGCAATATAAGCACCAAATTACGTACATTCGAGCAATTAAGAAAATTATCCCAGTTCTTCACATTCGTGTCTCGAGTTGATGTTTCCAAACAGACAGCACAGAGAAAAACCCAACAATGTCGGCGGAAACGAAGCATTTCCGGCATTCTTAAAAAACGGACCAAGCCACGGGAACCAAACACCGAAGCCAAGCCAACGTTTTCGGTGCGGTACATTGACGTCTATTAGCGCAGTGCATCTCATACACGAGTCCGGATAATGTGATTCACACTTATTAGGACCAAGCACATCGTGACGACATTGTCGCTTAAACTACAACACTTGGGTTCAATTAATATGACTACTCCGTTGCCGTGACATGCTGCAATCATGTGCAGAGGGACTGTCGTAGTACCCTCTTAAAGTAGTGCACCTCCTGTACAATTCCAACGAGCAAGGCTTGAAATCGCTCTGACATCTAGAGACATACTCTGCCGAGATCATATGCCAACAGCCACCCTACGGAAACGAATCAAGCCTCGGGAAACGAAGACTGAAGCAAGGCCAGCGCTTTCGGTGCGGTACATATACGTCTGTTAGCGTAGTGCACCTCACACACGAGTCCGGATAATGCAATTCACACCTTTAGAACTGAACACGTCGTGCAGACAATGTCGATGGAACTGCAAGACTTCGGTCCGATGAATAAGACTCATGCATTGCCGTGAGATGCTGCAATCATGTCGTGCAGGGGGACTGTCGTAGCACCCTCTTAAAGTAGTGCACCTCTTGCACAATTCCAACGAGCAAGGCTTGAAATCGCTCTGACATCAAGAGACATACTCTGCCGAGATATTATGCCAACAGCCACCCTAAGGAAACGGATCACGCCCCGGGAAATGAGGACTGAAGCAAGGCCAGCGTTTTCGGTACGGTACATATACGTCTATTAGCGTAGTGCACCTTAAACACGAGTCCGGATCATGCGATTCACACTTATTAGGACCAAACACATCTTGCTGACGATGTCGGTGGATATGCCAGACCACGGTCCGATGAATAAGACTCATGCATTGCCGTCAGATGTTGCCATCATTGGCGGACGGACCGCAGTAGCACCCTCTTCAAGTAGTACACCTCTTGTATAATTCCAATTGGCGAGACCTAAAAACCACTCTGACATCCAAAGACGTTCTCTGCCGAGATAATATGCCAACAGCCACGCTAAGCAAACGGACCAAGCCCCGGGAAACGAAGACTGAAGCAAGGCCAGCGTTTTCGGCACGGTACATATACGTCTGTTAGCGTAGTGCACCTCACGCGAGTCCGGATCATGCGATTCACACGTATTAGGACTAAACACATCTTGCTGACGATGTCGGTGGATATGAAAGACTTTGGTCCGATGAATAAGGCTCATGCATTATCGTCAGATTTTGCCGTCATTGGCGGACGGACCGCAGTAGCACACTCTTCAAGTAGTACACCTCTTGTATAATTCCAATTGGCGAGACCTAGAAACCGCTCTGACATCCAAAGACGTACTCTGCCGAGGTAATATGCCAACAGCCACCCTAAGCAAACGGACCAAGCCCCGGGAAACGAAGGCTGAAGCAAGGCCAGCGTTTTTGGTACGGTATATATACGTCTGTTAGCGTAGTGCACCTCACACACTAGTCCGGACAATGCGATTCACACTTATTAGAACTAAACACGTCGTGCTGACAATGTCGATGGAAATGCAAGACGTCGGTCCGATGAATAAGACTCATGCATTGCCGTGAGATGCCGCCATCATGTCGTGCAGAGGGACTGTCGTAGCACCCTCTTAAAGTAGTGCACCTCTCGTACAATTCCAGTGAGCAAGGCCCGAAATCGCTCTGACATCCAGAGACATACTCTGCCGAGATGATATGCCAACAGCCACCCTAAGAAAACGGACCAAGCCCCGGGAAACGAAGACTGAAGCAAGGCCAGCGTTTTCGGTACGGTACATATACGTCTGTTAGCGTAGTGCACCTCATACACGAGTCCGGATCATGCGATTCACACTTATTAGGACCAAACACATCTTGCTGATGATGTCGGTGGATATGCAAGACTTCGGTCCGATGAATAAGACTCATGCATTGCCGTCAGACGTTGCCATCATTGGCGGACGGACTGCAGTAGCACCCTCTTCAAGTAGTACACCTCTTGTATAATTCCAATTGGCGAGACCTAGAAACCACTCTGGCATCCAAAGACGTACTCTGCCGAGATAATATGCCAACAGCCACGCTAAGCAAACGGACCAAGCCCCGGGAAACGAAGACTGAAGCAAGGCCAGCGTTTTCGGTACGGTACATATACGTCTGTTAGCGTAGTGCACCTCACACACGAGTCCGGATCATGCGATTCACACTTATTAGGACTAAACACATCTTGCTGACGATGGTATAAGGTACGCTGCGCTTATAAATATATATGTACCGTACCGAAAACATTGGCCTCGCTTCGGTCTTCGGTTTCCGGGGCTTGGTCCGTTCTCTTAGAATTGCTGTTGACACGTTATTTCGGTACAGTGTGTCTTTGGATGACAAAGCCGTTCTTAGGTCTCGCCAACGAATTATGCAAAAGGCGCACTACTTTAAGAAGGTGCTACTACAGTCTGTCCGCACATGATGGTGACATCCCACGACAGTGCATGAGTCTTATTCATTGAATCAAACCATTGCAGCTCAGCCGACATTGTCGGCACAATGTGTTTATTTCTACTTAGTGTGAATCGCGTTGTAAGGGCTCTTGTTTCAGGTGCACCGCACGACTAAACGTATATGTACCGTACCTAAACCGTTGCCTTTGTTTCGGTCCTCGGTTCCCGGGGCTTGGCTTTGTTCCTCAGGGTTCGTGTCGGGATGTTATCTCGGCGGGGTGTGTCTTTGCCTTTGCCCTCAGAGTGGTTTTTAGGTCTCGCCAATCGGAATTATACAAGAGGTGTACTACTTTAAGAGGGTGCTACTACAGCCTGTCCGCACATGATGGCAGCATCTCACGGCAATGCATCAGTCTTATTCATCGGACCGAAGTCTCGCAGTTCCACCGTCGTTGTCAGCACGATGTGTTTAATTTCCATAAGTGTGAATCGCCTGATCCGGACTCGTGCATGAGGTGCACTGCGCTAATAGACGTATATGTGCCGTACCGAAAACGCTGGCCTAGCTTCAGTCTTCGGTTCCAAGGCTTGGTCCGTATCCTTAGGATTTTTATTGGCATATTATCTCGGTAGAGTATGTCTTTGGATGCCAGAGCGGTTTTTAGGTCCCGCCAATTGGAATTATGCCAGAGGTGTACTACTTGAAGAGGGTGCTACTGCAGTCCGTCCGCCAATGATGGCAACATCTGACGGCAATGCATGAGTCTTATTCATCGGACCGTGGTCTGGCATATCCACCGACATCGTCAGCAAGATGTGTTTGGTCCTAGTAAGTGTGAATCGCATGATCCGGACTCGTGTGTAAGGTGCACTACGCTAATAGACGTATATGTACCGTACCGAAACGCTGGCCTTGCTTCAGTCTTCTTTCCCGGGGCTTGATCCGTTTCCTTAGGGTGGCTGTTGGCATAATATCTCGGCAGAGTATGTCTCTGGATGTCAGAGCGATTTCAAGCCTTGCTCGTTGGAATTGTACAAGAGGTGCACTACTTTAAGAGGGTGCTACGACAGTCCCTCTGCACATGATCGCAGCATCTCACGGCAATGCATGAGTCTTATTCATCGGACCGAAGTCTTGCAGTTCCATCGACATTGTCAGCACGACGTGTTCAGTTCTAAAGGTGTGAATCGCATTATCCGGACTCGTGTGTGAGGTACACTACGCTAACAGACGTATATGTACCGTACCGAAAACGCTGGCCTTGCTTCAGTCTTCGTTTCCCGAGGCTTGATCCGTTTCCATAGGGTGGCTGTTGGCATATGATCTCGGCAGAGTATGTCTCTGGATGTCAGAGCGATTTCAAGCCTTGCTCGTTGGAATTGTACAGGAGGTGCACTACTTTAAGAGGGTACTACGACAGTCCCTCTGCACGACATGATGGCAGCATGTCACGGCAAACGGAGTAGTCATATTAATTGAATCCAAGTGTTGTAGTTTAAGCGACAATGTCGTCACGATGTGTTTGGTCCTAATAAGTGTGAATCACATTATCCGGACTCGTGTATGAGATGCACTGCGCTAATAGACGTCAATGTACCGCACCGAAAACGTTGGCTTGGCTTCGGTGTTTGGTTCCCGTGGCTTGGTCCGTTTTTTAAGACTGCTGGAAATGCTTCAGTTCCGTCGACATTGTTGGGTTTTTCTCTGTGCTGTCTGTTTGGAAATATCAATTCGAGACACGAATGTGAAGAACTGGGATACTTTTCTCAATTGCTCGAATGTACGTAATTTGGTGCTTATGTTGCCCTTTTAGTACATGCTATAAATCGTCGGCTGTCTGCGTGTTAAAAATCATATGACCTGTTTGTGGCCGAAATTATTATATTATCAGATGGTTATTTCTTGAAGATGATAGGCAATCATGCGAGCATTGTGAGTAGCAGTGGTCGAAACGACGTAGTGAATGGTGTTAATTGCCTGCTCATTACTTTTGGTGCTAAAGATGTCGTTTGGATTGTATGATTTCAAAGTCGGGCAATCCTGCTAACGCGAGCTGGTTGAGCCCGTGCCGCACTGCGCGTAAAACGCTCGCGGTGGAGATTTTTCTTCTTCTAAAAAAGGTGAAGTTCTTGAAGAATACCAAATCCACAAGTGAGACTCAATCGCTCTGCTTTCGGCCTGGCTGCCAGTAGTTTTAGCAGATCAAAAGCTAACATTTCAATTATGATGATATTGAAAAGATATTCCTTAGAAGAAGACATTCTCAAGCTGCTATTCAAGTAGAAATAATTTAAAGTTCCGTGCTTGGGTTATCGTAACCTGAGTTTGCATCCACATGTGCCAGGTTCAGCACTGAGATAATGCAGATGGCACAGTCAATGGATCTGATGGAGCTGAGGATTTCCATACAGATGCTTTCCAAATTGTGTGTTTTTGCAACCTCATAAAATAACCAAGATTTCATCTGATGTCAGAGATCACTTCTGTTCCCTGGCCACCTACCTCCAGATCTTGCCGACCCTCATGTCACAGCGCAAAGAGTGATGCATACATGATACATTCTTACATTGTGATGTTGAGCAATGAAGGGGTGCAATAAATAGCCAACAATTATAAGCAGTGGCAAAGGTGTGGTTGGAGGCATGCATTGTTTACACTGTTTTAAATGCGGACCTGGGATCTCTGTTCAAAAGGATTTTAAGGATATTTGTCATCTCAGGAACCATTTCAGATGAAGACACAAAATGAGCTGCACAGTGAAACAAATGCACAATCTGCAATTCAATTCGCTACCTTCACACTACCAGCCAGAGGCAATCCCATTTTTTTAAAAATTGTGTTTTGAACACAACATACTTTGGTGAGGGAAATTGGGTACTGAAAGCAGACATGTAGCTCATTTTGGTTTATTGTGAGCAGTGTGCAGCAAAAAGGTTGCACTCATGTCTGTTATTGTCTTGTTAGCCCCATACCACAGGAAGCATCTTATTGGTACATGTGAATCATGCATTGCCTTGCAGATGTCAGACTTGTACTTTGTTGCCCAAATTGTTAATTGCTGTTCTTGTGGCCTCTTACGGTAAGTAATGGTGTTCTTCAATTACAATTTTTTAATCATGTCATACAGAGTGTACATTATCATTCAAGTTTTCAGACTGTTTCAAAACATGTAGTACCTTAAATAACTGCAACATTTTTCTCAATGGCAGGCTGCTGTCGCATTTGAGGAAAAGGAATCAGCCTCCAGGACATCTGAGGAAGACATGAAGCTGTTCCACAGTACCTGTGATGCCATCAGGAAGATAATGTGTGACATTGAGGAACTAAAAAAGGTTCCAGATAAGGTAACACTTGGTGCTATGGATGCCATGAGTGATTAACAGGTCAACTTGTGTGTATAGTGGTGTGAAGCCCCACATCAAGGACTTGCTTGCCGGAAATCAGGCTCAGGGCTTAACACGATCAGGTGTAATGACCCTTGCTCTGGTGATAGTCAATTGCAAGTAGGGATTTATTTGTTGCTACCATGTACATTTTAACCAGTGCATCATACTTAGTGTGCTTTATGTGACGGGAGCTTCTGACGCTGCCAGAACCGGCCTCGGATCGCCGAGCTGCGCGCGCTGGCCGGCCTGCACGTGCTCTCGCTGAAGAAGGTCAACCGGCTGGAGAAGGTGCGGCTGAAGGCGGCGCGCGAGAGCACACACGCGGCCAAGCAGCGCGTCGATGCCTTCCACCTGACGCTGCAGAACCTGCTGTACGAGATCGTGCACGTCAAGCGTGAGATCAACCGCTGCCTCGAGTTCAGGTGAGATGTCAACCGCTGCCTCGAGTTCAGGTGAGATGTCAACCGCCGCCTCGAGTTCAGGTCAGATGTCAACCACTGCCTCGAGTTCAGGTGAGATGTCAACCACTGCCTCGAGTTCAGGTGAGATGTCAACTGCCGCCTCGAGCTCAGGTGAGATGTCAACTGCCGCCTCGAGTTCAGGTGAGATGTCAACTGCTACCTTGAGTTCAGGTGAGATGTCAACCGCTGCCTCGGGTTTAGGTGAGATGTCAACCACTGCCTCAAGTTCAGGTCGGATCAACTGCTACCTTGAGTTCAGGTGAGATATCAACCACTGCCTTAAGTTCAGGTAAGAGATCAGCCCCTGCCCTCAGCTTCACTTCAAGATCAACGGCTGGCTCGAGCTTCTTAGTCAGGGTTCAACTGCCGCCTCGCGCACAGGTCATTGGAGGCATTGTGGGGTTTTCCGAGCCTGATAAGTTGTGTGACGTCTCGTGGGCGAGATTCGGATGTGTCGTGGTGGGTGGGACTGCTGAAGCGGTACTGCAGCTGATGCTTGCCTGGAAGCCAACAAATGTCTGTTTTCCCCCTGTTGCATGTGATGGAGGCTATTGTAGTGAAACGGCGGTGTGGAGATCGTGAACAACGCGTGTGTCGAGTTTTGCGGAGTCAGACGCGTGGTGGCCGTCGACGGAGCGCCAAATGGTCCCGTCTCGACCGGACTGTGCCGGCGTGCCGTCAGCCGCCGCGCCCGATGCTGAGCTGCCTCAGACTGTCCTGCCCTGGCTCCTGCTCCCCGTGGTCGCGCCCGATGCTAAGCTGCCTTAGACTACTACCCTGGCTCCCGCTTCCCGTGGTCGCGCCCGATACTGAGCTGCCTCAGACTGTCCTGCCCTGACTCCCGCTCCCCGTGGTCGCGCCCGATGGATGCTAAGCTGCCTAAGACTGTCTGACCATGGTTTCTGCTCCCCGTGGTCGCGCCCGATGCTAAGCTGCCTCAGACTGTCTCACCCTGGCTCGACCCGCCGGTGCGTGCGTGACCCGCCGACGTGCCGCAGGTCGCAGGACGAGGACATCACTCTGGTGTCGGAGGAGGAGTTCTACCGGCAGGCGCCCGAGACCATCAGCCAGCTGGTGAGGCACCCGGGTCCCTAACGCCACGCTCGGCAGGGGGGGGGGGGGACGGGCAGCTGGTGGTCAGTGGCAGCACGATGGTCGGAGAGGCACGATGCACCTGTTGGCTCAGGCTGCTCAGCCGGAGAGAACTTTCGTGGAGACGTGTCGGCGTTGAAACCGCCGTTCAAAACATGGTGTGCTTGTGAGCAGGGTACAGCCTTTTTGCGTTTCGTTTGCGGGTAGAATCGTCTCATCGTGAGACAGATTCGGTAACTCTAAACAGTATGTCTACCTCAACTGCACCTAAAATCGGTCAGCATTTGAGCATCAGCGGCTATCATCAGCGTGTCAACATCAGCCTGCCCGTGCGCTGTCGGGCGGTGATGAGCAGAGGACGCTCGCCGTCTCCGCCTGCCGCCGGTCACAGCTGTCAGATGCGTATCCTCGGTGACTGCCGCCGCGCCCTCTGTCGCCGCTGCGGCCCTCTGTGACCGCCGCTGCACCCTCTGTGACCGCCGCTGCGCCCTCAGTGACCGCCGCCGGGCCCTCTGTGACCGCCGCTGCGCCCTCGGTGACCGCCGCTGCGCCCTTGGTGACCGCCGCTGCGCCCCGGCAGGCGGTGACCCGCGACGACGCGCACAGGCGCCACCTGGCACGGCTGGACTGGGAGCTGGAGCAGAGGCGCGGCCTGGCCGCCGACTGCCGCCAGCTGGACGGCGACAAGAAGCGCATCAGCCAGCGCATCGGCGAACAGCGCCGCCGGCTGGCCGACCTGGCGCCCCAGCTGGCCACCATACTCGAGGTACGCCGCTCCCAGCGCTGGCCGACGCGCGCCGGACACCAGCCGAGAGTGGGAGGGCGACCAGTGCGGGCGGAGGTTGTGGACCCAGACACCTCGCCCATCCCAGCTTTGTGGCACGTTGGGAATGCTATCTCGGGGGGGGGGGGGGGAGGGGATAGCGCACACTTGGCCGTGGCTGGGCAGGCATAAGTGAGATGCGCAGCCGAGAGCCGGGAGGCGAGGCGCACGCCGCACCCCAGCCAGGCCGACGCTCTGAGCGGGCCGTCTTCGGGAGGTGTAACGGGCACCACGCGGTGTGTAGCGGATGTGCTGGGGCCACTCCAGGGCGGTTAGCGTAAGCACCGATAACCGTGCTCCTGTCATACTGAATGTGAACGAATGCGACTGCCATCCGATTTTCGAGCGGGGTTTTGTGGTGAGGGAGAGCTGTCGAAAGGGCAGCTCACACCTAATCCAGGTTTCGTGAATCCACACGATAGTGGTATTTCCTTCCGGGACCACTCAGAGGGCCGCGCGCCACGGGTTTCCACGACATTCCCATATAACACGGCGCCAGCATAGCCCGCGATCTGCTTGTGGAGGGAGATCGCTCCGTGTTATCTACACCTCCACACATATTTGTGACGTCATGATGAGCACCGCCGGCATCAGCGCCGATCCTGGAGTGCTCCCGTCCCGGGAGCCCCGTCAGATGAGCCGCCCCAGCGTTTGTCCACGGCTGAACAGGGATGCTTTGCCCTCATCTGGGGAGTAGATGACGGGCGACGGTTTGTTTTTTCACACCCAACACTCGTCAGAACGTGTGTGGAGACGGAGCTGCGTTTCCTCTGGGCGTTGGCCGGTGACGGCCCGTCTGCGGAAGCGGAGATGCGTCAGATCAGTCCGCCTCTCGCCACCTGCGCACTGGCGAGCCTCCGCGGCAGGCCGGCGCTGACGCCGCTGATTCGCTGGACGCGTGCGGACGACACGCGGCCGGTGACTGACGAGATTGGCTGCGCGGGGCCCGAGCACGGCTGCCGGTCCGCACCGGATAACCTGCGACGTTACTAGTCTAATCACCGATACTGTCGACATACTACTGACTACATCTCGAAGGGAACTGGAACGGCAGAACTGAAATCGGAAAGGTCGCAGTGCTGAAAGCCGACTCCTTCTAGTGCGCTTTCGCTATGTGGTGCCTTGTCATCTCACTTCGCAATTCTATGCCTTTTTCTGGTTGACCACTTTCGTTCTTTTTTGTGAAATAGTTTATTTCCTTAAAGCAGCCGCAGCTTGCCACCTGAGATGTTGGAGCAGCTGGCAGCTGGACATGGCTTCTGCCGTGAGCAGCAGCCAAATGCCATGGCCATTAACACGCGTCCGGTTGGCCGGTTGAACACCCTTCGCTCGGGTGGGGTTGGGGTTCAATTCGCACCCTTGAGATCCCAGAAAATAAGAGAGCTAGAGACTTGAGTTCACTGGGTGTGTTGGCTTATACGTGAACTCAATTGTGTCAAAAATTGAGCTTCCTGGGCCGTGGTCTTCGGATCAAATGAGGGCAAACAAGGTTAGACCCCAGATTGGTGTCCAAAGTGCCCCCAAACCTTGTTATGCAACCACCGTGAACCTAGATGCCTATTCTGAGGAAAAGGTTACTGGTGATTATTCTAGGTCACTGACCTTGTCTGGCTCTTCAAAGGTCATGATGTCACACAAAGCTGTTTTTATTTTTGTATTTGACTAGACGTCAAAGATTTCGTTAGACAGCGCGTTCCTAAAAACGTAGTGCCGACCCTGCCATTCGAGGTCTGTGACCTATTACGACATTTAAGAAACACATAAAATATGTATAATGCGGCTCCAGTTACCAAGAAATTAAAGATGGGTACCAGAACCTACCTGATACAGCAAGCTGTAAAGAAATAAAACGGGTTGATTTTAACCTTTTTCTGCCCTTTGTACCTGTCCCAAGGTCAATGGAATGTGCTCATCCAATTGCTGTGTTGCTTAAGATACTATCTGAGGGATGTGTGGCTTCGTCTAACACTCCATTCTTGCATCAGGTTGAACGATTCCCTAGAAATTGCCCGCTGAATCCGTAGCCCCATCTGTTACCTGTTGTAGGTCACCGACCCCAAAAAGAACATATAAATGGTTGGTACCAAACGATCCGCCATTCAGTTGTCTATGGCTATCTAAAGTTTGATGTGGCTACGCCGCGGCGTCCGGAAATCATCTCGGAAAAGCCTACGGTAGGGGTCAAATTAATCCTTCACCCGAGTTCGTGTTACACACAGGTCAGATTGATTTGACCACCGGCCGTGGTCTTGGTCAAGCGTTTGCACGTCAGGGAAAGAATGGTAATTTGTATTTTCAGTACTAGTATTGACACTAAATGATAACATTGTGGCGATAAACGGCGTTCAGTACGCGAGGAGATTCGAGGACACCACGACGACATTGGTTAAATGATCATCGCAATATTATATCCCTTCACATTGTAATCTCCGTTATGTTCAAATGACTTAACGCTTAATCCGATATCATTGTCCAGGCATATTTCAATACTAGCTCTCGCGATGCTCCGCGATCGGGCGCGCGCGCACTACGTGCAGTAGGAAGGAGAATGTGGGGGCTGCTCCTGGTCCATTGAGAGGAGGAAGGAGGACGCTGCTCCTGGTCCATTGGGAGAGGAAGGGGGACGCCGCTCTTGGTCCAGTGGGAGGTGGAGGGAGACGCTGCTCGTAGTCCCGTGGGAGGGGAAGGGGGATGCTGCTCGTGGTCCAGTGGGAGGGGAGGGGATGCCTGTCTTCGTCCAGTAGAAAGGGGGAAGGGAGACACTGCTCTCGGTCCAGGGGAGGAGAAGGGGACCCTGCTCTTGGTCCGGTGGGGGGGGGGGGGGGGGGGCTGCTCGCGATCTGGTGGGAAGTGGAAAGGGGACGCTGCTCTTGGAGACTGGCCATGTTTGTCCGGCTCATCATTGACCGACGACCCAAGCTCCGCCCATGAATGTGACGTCACAGGTACACGCCAATGCAGAACGCGCTTAATTCCGAATGTGGACCAAAAGGAATCGGCTGATGGAACCCCATGGAGACATACAGCGCGCAGGAATGGCACACTTGAATGACGTTGGATTTTATTTACAATATTATTATTTACATATTTATATTACAATTACATTTAAAATATTACAATTGCAATACAATATTATTATTTACAATATATTTAATTACAATATAGAACAGTTACTGGCAACTGTTTTGGATAAAGACAATGTCGACCACAATATCCACATGAGATCGAGACCTGCCGATTTGCCGGACATACAAGACCGCCAACAGCGCATCGTCCGTTGCTAGGCATTGTTATGTGGGCAGCGACGGCTTACTTAAAAAAAAACGAACAAAAAAGAACACGCGGTTCCCTCGCCTCTGCCGATCGCGGATCGTCTCGTGACGTCATGTGCGTGCGTGCGTGCGTGTGCGTTTGCGTGTGCGTATGTGGGTGCGTGTGCGTGTGTAATCCCGATTGGGTCAGGACCACTGAGCGTCAATATTGTCTCTGGAGTCGCGGGGGCTCCATGAAAAGATCCGTGATAACATGTCCCGCGATCCCTTCATAAAAGCATAATAGGTGTGGGAGATCCCGATCCTGTTATGATTGAGAGCTGGAGTTAAAGAGGGCTTGAAGAGCCAGCCTTCGAGAGGAGACCCAAGAGGGGACGAGGCCACTGCTGAGCGCGGCCGCCGTGTTTCTCCGGCTGCTGTAGGCTGATGTGCACGTCCGGCTACCCGACCATCTGGCGATAACGCTCATCTGGCGTGCTCTGTGCCTGTCGGAGCCGTCTCTGATGGGGCGACCCCTGTGTGTGTCCGCCGAGTACTCGTCTTCTACAGCAGTCGTTTGGTGGTACGTGCTGTACCTAGATGTCGCAACACCGAGGCCGTATCAGCTGTCGATGAGCCCGGCCCCGACCGCACCGCTGACCGGGGCCGGCCTGCAACGCTGTGTCAGCCCACTGCATGCCCTGCGACTGTGTCGTGGAGCGCCGGCTCGCTCAGCTCGCGGCAATACACTGCCATTGGTGCCCTGCACGACGATGTGTCACGACGACATGGGGCCGTGGTCCGTTCAACAGCATCCATTGCAGTTAAAAATTGGCTTCCAATTCCACGTCCAGTCGACTTTCTAAAAAAAAACAACAAATGGTGTGCTCCATGGGGAGGCATGGCCCAAACCACGGGTGTTTACGACGGTATAGTGTCTTACTGCCAGCGGCCGGTGTCATGGGCGACGGCACACGTGGTCGCTGGACGTGAGAACGAACCGTTGACGACCGCCGGCTGACGACGTCTCGGTCGTGCCGTACCCGGCAGAGCACGCGGCCGCTGCAACAGGAGCTGGCGCTACCGCTGGACCGACGCCGCCAGCAGCACCGCCTGGCCGCCCTCCTGCCGCGGCCGCTCTACCTGCTCTACGTCCAGGTGGCCGCGTACGGCGAGGCTTGCGGTAAGTGGCGGGACGCCGCGGCGCTGCGGCCGCGCCCATGAGGGACCTTGCACACGCCTCTTGGTGCTGGAGTGCCTCTTAATGCAACCGTCCCGTATGCACTCGTCGTTGGTGACCGTCATAGCGTGCTTTTCTCAGTTATTTAGTGTGCACCGGTCAATGGAGCTTGTGTAATCAACGGGCGTATGGTGGACGAATGGCTCTCCACTTCCGAGAACACGTATTTGGCACTTGTGGAAAATACACGTTTAAAGAGAACATAGAGACGGTGTAAACGGCGATCCAGTCGTACCAAACCGTTCAGATAACTAACACCTCCAGTATATACGTTTATCTGCGGAGAGAACTAGGCATCCTGCAGTAGCTCTGAAAGGAGTTGGTACTTGATGGCTGAGCCTTTTACGCCCCAACCTGCATGGTCCGCCTGCCCCCCCCCCCCCCCCGCTCTCCCGCTCCTGCACGCCAGTTTGTCGGCATGCACCCCACTTGCAAGCCGTTACAAACATTGACAGAAACGCCTTGCCCTTGTTTAACGCTCAAGTAAAGCTTTCAAACACTTAGACACCGTGCTGAATGCGATATTTCCGCGGTGATGTAGCGACGGAGCCGCGGCGGAGCCGGAAGGCTCCAATGACGTCGTCGCACCGTACTGAGCCACTCAGGATCTCACTAATGGGAAATTCCATGATGGCACCCCCTGTTTCCACTAACATATAAGATGTGAACAGGAACGCATAGAACAAAGTAAGGTCCAGCCAAGCACTTGCTGTCGTTGACACGTACACATTTCTCGTGACTTTTATGCTCAGGGCACTTCAGCTTCATCCTCGTTTTCGGCCGTGCTGTCACGTCTGCCTCTGCCAGTGTTGGGCGTCTGAGACCGCGCCCATTCTCTGACCGCAGATGCGGCTGTGAGCGCCACGATATGTGGCAACGAGGAGGAGGCGTGCTCGCTGAAGCAGGCCGACCAGAGGGACGCGGTGGATGAGTCGGACTCTGACCAGGAGGCTGAGGTGAGTCGCGGCAGAGTCGCATCGACGTCGAGATCGCCAGCTGCACGAGGTCGAGCGCTCGCTCGCTGCCATGCAACGTGCAGCATACGCGGCTGGGCATTTGGACATGGTCCGGCCGGGCGATCTTGGCACAGTTTGACCTAACGATCTGGGCACAGTTCGGCCGGCCGATTTTGGCATAGGCGTGCCGGGGCGATCTTGGCATAGTCCGACCGGGCGATCTTCGCACAGTTCTGCCGGGCGATCTTGGTCCAGTACGGTCGGGCACAGTTCGGTCGGGCGATCTTGGCACAATTCGGCCGTGTGGTCTTGGCACAGTTCGGCTGTGTGATCTTGGCGCGGTTCGGCCGGGCGATGTTCGCATAGTCCAGCCGGGCGATCATGGCATAGTCCAGCCGGGCGATCATGGCACAGTTCGGCCGTGCGATCTTGGCACAGTTGGGCCGGACGATGTTTGCATAGTCCAGCCGGGTGATCATGGCACAGTTCGGCTGCGCGATCTTGGCACAGGGTGGCGGTGTGATCTTGACATGACCTGGCACAGTTGGGCCGTGTGATCTTGCCATGACCTGGCACAGTTGGACCGCGTGATCTTGACGTGACCTGGCACAGTTGGGCCATGCGATCTTGACATGACCTGGCACAGTTCGGCCGTGTGATCTTGACATGACCTGGCCACACGGCCGTATCTGCCTGGTTGGCTGCAAATGCATCTCGCGATATTCGCACGCTGCAGGCGTGATGCTCGGAAGCGTGCTGAGCCATGTTGGCCGTGATTACGTTTACATTTTCCTCTACGTGTGTTGCTGGTTTTACGGTTTCGCTGAAAGCTGTAGAACCGTATCCGCCGTGAAATTTGATCTTGGGCCAGAGACAGGTAACTGGCCAAAACGTGAAAATCGGAATAGGTCCGTCATTGCTGTCAGGGCAGTTGCTGAAACTTTTGGACTGGCCGACTTTGAACAGATGGGTCGAATCAAATTAGGATTATATCAATGCTATGCCGAGTCTGTTCAAGTGTAGCCGTGGCTAAGATTCGCTCATAGCGCGTCAGTGAGGACTCCGGTAATTGGGAACGCACACGCCCGGCGGTGACTGTCACCTATTGAGCCGAACGCACAGCCATGCGTGCTGTTGCGTTGTGGCCGAAGGTCCCACCGGCTGGCCGGCGCTGCTGACGCCGGCATGACGCTGGTGTAGTGTGTATAGTGCTGGTGCAGTGTGTGTAGTGGTGGTGTAGTCGGGCTGCGCTGCTGGCGTCTCGCGCATCACTCCCGTCGTAAATCGTAGGCAGTTATAATTTGAGAGGAGGGCGTGTGGGTCCGTGGCGCTCTTTGTATTGTGACGCCCACAGTGCCGCTAGGAACGCGTTCCGATGCTTTGCTGCCCCGACCACGGTCGTTGTCCTGGCGCTTGTCGTCCCGGGCTGCAAAGTGGCTCGCGGACCGTCCAATGGACGCGGCGCGCGCGGACACCGGGCGTGTGCCCGCGTCCAGGCGCCTGCCAGCGTCGGCCGTCCAATGGACGCGGCGCGCGCGGACACCGGACGTGTGGCCGCGGCCAGGCGCCGGCCAGCGTCGGCCGTCCAATGGACGTGGCGCGCGCGGACACCGGACGTGTGGCCGCGTCCAGGCGCCGGCCAGCGTCGGCCGTCCAATGGACGCGGCGCGCGCGGACACCGGGCGTGTGCCCGCGTCCAGGCGCCGGCCAGCGTCGGCCGTCCAATGGACGTGGCGCGCGCGGACACCGGGCGTGTGGCCGCGTCCAGGCGCCGGCCAGCGTCGGCCGTCCAATGGACGCGGCGCGCGCGGACACCGGACGTGTGCCCGCGTCCAGGCGCCGGCCAGCGTCGGC